GCTCAATTACACATGATGCTGAACCTCAAGCTTCTAGAAAAAGAAGAGCAGGACAAACCCAAAGCTCATACAAGGGAGGAAGTTATAAAGATCAGGGCAAAAATGAATGCAATGGAGACTAAGAGAATGATACAAAAAAAAATCAATGAAACCAAGAGTTGGTTCTTCGAAAGAATCAACAAAATAGACAAATCCTTAGCCAAACTTATCAGAAAAAGGGAAGAAAAGGCCCAAATCCATGCAATTCGGAATGAAAAGGGAGAAATTACAACAGACCCAACAGAAATCCAGAGGATCATCAATACCTACTTCAAGAACTTTTACGCCAATAAAATTGAAAACACAGAAGAAATGGATAGATTCCTAGATACGTGTGATTTACCAAGGGTCCTGATGGCTTCACTGCTGAATTCTATAAGACATTTAGTGAGGAACTACTGCCACTACTGTTTAAACTATTCAATGAAATTGAAAGGGAAGCAACACTCCCGAATTCATTCCTGGAAGCAAGCATCACCTTTATCCCTATAGCAAGACCCAAACGAAAAAGAGAACTATAGGCCAATCTCACTAATGAACATAGATGCAAAAATCCTTAATAAGATACTGGCAAATAGAATGCACAAGATCATTGAGAAGATCATATACACTGACCAAGTGGGATTTTTCACAGGGATGCAGGGATGGTTCAACATATGCAAATCAATCAATGTAGTGCATTATATCAATAGACCCAAGGACAAGAACCATATGATCATCTCAACCAATGCAGAAAAAGCATTCAACAAAACCCGACATGCATTTATGATAAAAACCCTACAAAAAATGAAATAGACAGTCTATACCTCAATCTGATAAAAGCCATCTATGAAAAATCAACAGCCAATATCATACTAAATGATCAAAAACAGAAATCTTTCATACTAAAATCAGGAATAAGACAAGGATGTCCACTATCACCACTCCTGTTCAATATAGTTTTGGAAACATTAGTCATGGCAATTAGACAAGAAAAAGAAATAAAAAGAATAAAGATAGGAAGTGAAGAAATCAAATTGTCATTATTTGCAGATGACATGATACTCTACATAGATGACCCCAAGAACTCCACCAAAAGGCTTCTAGACTTAATAAGCAAATTCAGTAAAGCAGCTGTAGATCAACACACAAAGGTCAACATTCAAAAACCAATAGCCTTCCTCTACACAAATGACAGACTCACTGAGAGAGAAATAGGGCAAACAATTCCTTTCTCAGTAGCATCCAAAAAACTGAAATACCTAGGAATCATCCTAACAAAAGAAATCAAAGACCTCTTCTCTGAAAACTATGGCACTCTGAACAGAGAGATTGAAGATGACATCAGAAAATGGAAAAACATCCCTTTTTCCTGGGTAGGAAGAATCAATATAGTGA